TATAATGAATGAAAATACATGGGCCTGTGCATATAGAAATGTAATGTAATTCTGTACAGCAACATGTAATTTGTTTGTTTCATTTGTCTCTATTTTAATTGTTTTGTTATGACGCGATGGTGTGGTTTATCTGCCTGATTCCCACTGAACTGGGTGGACTGTGTAACGTTTGAATTGGGGGGATGTTCTTGGGGTGGGGTTTGAGTGCCGCATTGCAAGCTATTGGACCAACAGTGGAAATGCTACATGATTTAGACCTCTCTTCTCATGCTCTCACACTGTTAGACATTTCAAAGGGTTTTTACAGTAACTTACTGGCAACACTGTTGCCAGTAAGTTACTGTATTTTCGATTTGCAGTATACAACTGTAAATCCGTTTACAGCATGTTACCGTAGTGTCTGAAAATGGTTAACTACTGTAAAAACCTAAGTTAACAGTTAGCTACTGTAAACCTTTTAATTTTGTCCTAAATATTTTATAATATAATTTTATTAATATTATTTTAATACTATAGACCTAAAAAAGACACAATTACAAAATATTAACAAAATAAACACTCTTTATTTAAAACATTGGAGATGCTTAACCCAAGCTTAAAAATGTGTAAAAACATTACATTTCAATCATTCAAAATATTTTATTTTAAGAAAAAAAACATTGAAAATGACAAAGCACATTAACATACATGTACAAAACTAATTTAAGTGTCTGACCTGCATATTGTTGAGAAAAAAAAACCCAATTGTACTAAGTACTACTGACATTAAACCAGACACAATTACAAAATATTCCATTCTTTAAAACATTAATAATGCTTAAAGCATTTAAGGAAAATGTGTGAAAATTACATTAAGCAATAAAATCAACACATTAAAAATAAATAAATCACACAAAGCACTAGAACATACATGTACAATAAAAATTTAAACTTCTGAATTGCAAAATGTTGGAAAAATAAATATTTGTAACTATTAGCCGACTCAGAAACAACCCAACTTTAAAATATTACTAGTTCTGGTGTCAAATGCTCAACAAGGTCTGAATTCACATGTTCAAATGCAATTCATCTTTATTTCTATTGCACTTTTACAATGTAGATCAATGATGTCAAAGCAGCTTAACATAGAAGTTCTTGTAAATTGAAGCTGCTTCAGTCCAGTTTTCAGAATTGAAGCAGTAAATGTCACTGCTGAAAGTCCAAACACTGAAAAGCAAATCCACCGATCCACCAATCGTAGCCAAGCGATCCAGTGGCGACAGTGGCATGGAACAAACTTCACCAACTGACGAAAGTGTAGAATAAAATCCCTTAAGAGATACCAGGCTCAGTTGGGCACGACCAGTTCTCCTCTAGCCAAACTTGTGCAAGGCCGCAGTCTAGGCACCGGAGGCTTGAAAGTTCACCAGCGGGTGGTCAGGCTGGCCCATTGGATCAATGCGGAAACTCATTGATAACGTGTGTCTTTTAGGATTCACTCCTCCATGACCACCACAGCATCTGGCCAGGATTTGGCCCAGTCCAGGATTATGCAGAACTCTGGATAAGGACAAACAGACTAACATAAGCATAGAAGAAGCTTGTTTAAAAAAAATGAATCATATACTGGTTAATTATTTTGAAGCATGGCAGCTAGGTTGGGGTAGTTTTCAGCTGGTACTGAGCAACTGGCTCCTGCTCATAACCTGCTCACTACCATGTTTAAAAGAGAACTAACCAGAATGTCCTGTTTATTTTTTTCCCTAACAAGGTTTTACAAAAACATTGTAGCATTTGTGATGGGTTGATTCACTGCAGGACAGATTAGACTATTTGTTTTATGTATTCCTAATAAACTAAAACTGACTGAATACTGATACAACTATTGAGAGTGTCTCACCTAATCCAAGTTCTCAGTTAGCTGGTGAAAGAAGGATAACTCACTGTTGTTCATGGTTGTCATTCTCTTCAGTACTTCTCCTGCTATCTTCTGGCTCACTCTGGTTGTTGCTGTGCATTTTGTTTCATCCTCTGGAATTATTTATACAAAAATTTTTATTATTTTATTTATTACAAAATATTTAGGCAACATGAAATGGGGAAAAAGACATTTAATACATAGACAAATGCATGTATCCCAATACTAATTATTGTATTTTGAAATGTCTGACCCATGACAGACCTCAATCTGCTCAAAAATATTATAAACAAAGATGAAAAAAAAACCCTACTAAATGGTTTAATAAAAAAGGGAAAAAGATTTTTTTATTTAGCTAGCAACTAAACATGTGACACATTTTGTATTAAAAGTAACGTTACTATATTGAGAAACAAATAGATGTACAGTACTTACTGTTGTATGAGGTCCAGTTTGCACAGGCAGGCTCCCAGTATTCTATATTGAGACCATAAAAAAGCCAAAAATACAGATAAGAATACCATGCTACAATCCACAACCTCCACACAACTTTTTTTTATTTGTTTACCTTGGTTGCTTACTGGTCTTGCTTATTTTTTAAGCATAAGGCTGTGCTGATCAAGATGTTCCTCTGAAATGCTGTTTGTTTCTTCAGACAAAACCTGCTGCTGTGCCAGTGCCATATCTAAACAGAAAAAAATATAATGGTAACAATTATGTTAAACCAAATGTCAAGAGTTGTGATAAAAAATAATTAGCAAACAATAAATAGCAAAAAGGTGGTTATTAGCATAATGCATAGAGGTAAAATTGGTTTTATATTAGCAGATTCAGACTTCCCCCTTAATAATTTAATTTCATAAAAGTATTATTTGCAAACTCTAAATAGCGAAATCATTTTAGCAGCTAATGACTATCAAAGTACAACATGCTCACGGTCAAATAAACAGTGTTAATGTTGATTTCAAGTCATACTGGCATGCTAATTCTGATAGAATATTCAAAGTAACATGGTAAACAGTATAGAATCTTCTAAATGAACGAATGTGCGAATATAAAACCAACTTTACCTCTATGCATATTGTATAGATTTACGTTCTTATAGGTTACGTCGCGATGTTATTTTCTCAAGCTAACGTTATAAGTTACTCTAAACCAGAGAAAAATAAGTTCACAACATCTAATATATATAGTATAAATCAATATAAGTTAAACGTTGCACGTTAAAATGAGTTTGAGTTCAATTCAGTATAAACTTAGCTCAGTTTAGCTAACAGTTAACATTACCATTTTAAGATCGCTTCAGCTAATGTTGCCGAGCAAACAAATGCTAATAGAGGTGCTCAAATCAATGTCGAGTGTTGTCAGCACAGACAGACGCGCTTTTACCTGGATTATTTGTTGGTCTTTCATTCATATTCTTCTGGGGGAAAACACTCTCTGCCGGACCGTTGTCTCGTGCTAAGTGTCCTCCAAAACTGTCTGCATACCTCTGGTTCCCTCCTAAACCAAAACCCGCTGCAACACCGGTTCCTATGTAAATAAATAAAAAGATATGACGAGAACAATGGCTAATAGTCATAAACATGTCTTATTTAAAGTAATAGTTGTGTTAATGTAATAAATTAAATAAAGGTAACATCTTAATACATGATATATTTCTCAAATGGGCGAAATAACGCCAAGCCAGAGAAAATAATAATAGCCAACTTTATACTTTACTTTGTTCTATTCTCGTCCACAAAACATTCTGTAAAATGAAACACTGCCTCAGCTTACCAGAGTAAAGTTTGTTACATCCAGTATGTTCTTCAGGCACACTAATAAATTGTCCTCCAGAATTGCTCCAGGGTCCTCAGGCAAAATGTGGTGCAGAGTAGTCGAATCGCCGCAAGGTGGCGTTGAAGCAGTTGTGGAAAATACAGTATAATACACGAATTTTTACAAATACAGTACATCGCTGTATATGTTGTTCGACGTCACACTAAATTCCCATAATGCAACGGTAAATACAGTTATTTACCGTAAAAGGAATTTGCAGTATTACACTGGGTGAAATACAGTAAATAACTGTGTAATTTACAGAAATGTCTAACAGTGCAGGCTACTGGCACAGCCCAATAAAATCACACTGGAAATGCGGCTAATGTCACTATGTCAGTGCCAATGAGGCATCAGAAGTGCTCTGGGATACACCAACAAACACTGAACAAGCTGAGTTACAAAGGACACAGTGGTTACATTTTATTGGTTTATTCTGAAATGTACCTAAAAAACACTTAAGGCTGCGTTATATCTTGCTTTGTAAATTGCCTTTCTGAAAAAGCTTCTTCACTTAGGGATAGTGTTGCTAAAGCTACCGTTATCCGAGTTTGTTATTACTGATGCTGCTTTTATATGCCACAAAAATTATCATAAATACAACTTTGGTCATTAAAAACTGTATATGAAAGCAATGTACCTATAATGTCGTACTGATATACACTGGACAGGCATATCATTTCAAAAGAAGGCATTCAAATTGTAGTATTTTTTTCTCTGCAGAGTGTAACTTATTTACATTTGGTCTATGCTGTTTTCTTGAGAGAGTGTAAAAATGACCGGTATGTAGAAATAAGTCATTCCTTTGATTTAAGACCCAGTAGATTTTACATCAAAAAGAGCTAAATCTGTAACAATTCAGTTAATATTCAGTGAAATAAAAGGAATGTAAAAGTTTACCTGCTTTAAATTTATCGATGTCGTCTGAGTTTTCAGTCGTAACACGAGAGAAGCTAGATTGTATTTTCTTTCTGTAGCGCAATAAAACAATGATTACCCCTATAATTACTAGTACAGATAATGTAATAACAACCAAGAGCCAATGTGAAGTTTCTCCATCTGATCCCATATTGTCTCCTTTGTCATCTTCTTTAATTGGTTTGTTTTCATTTTCTGCCACAGAGACTGCAATACAAATAAATCAATTCAAATGATAATAGTAATATTTTGAAACAAATACAACAACATTACTGCAGTGATAACAGATTTATCTATACAGATAAATGCATTAAGACTAAAACTTCAACAGTGACATTTTAAAATAAAACTTATAATATGTTTGTGATGAAGTTTTTACACACCGTTGACGATCAGCCGTACAGCTGGTTGTTCAGATGAGTGTGAGATGTAGCAGATGTATTTTCCAGCATCAGTGACTCGAAGTTTGTTGAGTTTGATGGAAAAGTTTCTTCTCAGATATTCTTGAGGGAAAGATTCAGTTCTGTTCTTGTACTGCTGATCCTGCTGCTCAATTGAAGCTTCACCCTTGATTAAGTCAAACACGCTTTTACTGCTACTGTCTCTCCAGTGCACATAAATGTCTTGCTTGCTTGCATCTTCAGTTGAGGAACATGGCAGGAGAGCAGACCGACCAATAAAACCCTCTACTGTGATCTGAAGAGATGCTGAAATTACATCAAAAGTTTAAACACACAATTTGGCATTTATATAACAATTTTATTCAAATTCAAAACACAAATAAAGATATTCAAGACATACCTTAAAAATATTCATTTGTGCCACGCAACGCCTGCAGTTAAACTCACAGCTGTTTATCATTGATACAAAAAGCAATGCTGGTTATAGCCTGCCTGTCTCTTATAACCCCCCCTCTCTTTTTAAGCTGTCGCATCAATGACATAACTTTGATTATGTGCATTTTGCAATAGTCTTGTTCCATGCAACAGAAACGCAGTGTTGTGAGGGCTTTATATTTTATCAACCGTGATGATTGAAAGCATGGTTGAAAGTAATTCCTATTAACATGTAAACATTAAACCATAACATGCGCACTTATGTTTTAGCACAAAGCTCCCTCTGGTTGTGTTGCTTATGACTGTGGAGATTAGTTGTGTTTTTTCTACGTGACCACAGTTTTGTGACACATGTTGTTGTGTTTGCCACATGTTTTCTCACTTAAAGCCAAAATATTGACACTGTAGTGAGTCAAGCTGGACCGAGTCATGAGAATGGTACGAGGCTGGTACGTGAGTGCTAACGACCAGCACCTGTATGCACCACCTGTCTTGAGTGACATGGAAGAACACTGAATATAAAAAGAAGAATAGACAACAGTGGAAGGCGAGAGATGACCAGGCCTGGATACACTATATTTTGTTTTGCTTTGCTTTCAGTTTGGTGGCTGTCCCATGAGGTGATGCCGTCTCTTTGTTTTGTCATTATTAAAATTATTTCAAAGTTTGTCAGCTCTGCACCTTCTTCTGCCATCAACATTGTTACAGACATATTTTAAATGTACAGTTCTTTTTAGGCACAAGTTTTTCACTGCTTTCTTTTCCTCTGTTTTAATTTTCACTCTCTGCTCTGACCTCTGAGGCACCAGGTGTACGTTAGTCATTGCCAAACACAATTCCTGGAGGGCCGTAGCCCTGCACAGTTTAGTTCCAACCATGCTCCAACACACTTAACTCTAGGTTTCAAACAAGCTGGAAGGACTCAATTAGTTTGATCAGGTGTGTTAAATTAGGGTTGGAACTACACTGTGCAGCGCTGTGGCCCTCCAGGAATTGAGTTTGACATCCCTGCTCTAGCCAATAGCAGAGCATCACCTGCATGGGAGGTGGGTATAAGAATAGTAAGGACCATTCTGATTGGTCAGATTTGGAAAACTTCTACATGCAACACAATTGCTTGGCAGATAAATTATATTTAAGTTAATGCAGCTCTCTGCGATATGGATGTCAAATCCAAATCGAAGCCTAGTTCTGAATGGACAACATGGCTGGGTTCCCTCCAAACATGGAAGACGTGATTGAAGCAAATTCAGCATGATTGCAGCAAAACATTGTGTATTCTGCATCATTCACACCACAGGATGGTTATCCTCTGTTCTCACGTTTGCATCAAATTGTATGCAATTTACTCACACAAAAATAATTAATTCTACATTTGTTTGAAACCAGCATAAAAGCATTTATTGCCGCCTGTTGGTATGTGTTGTGCCCTTAACATGCATCACAGTGCATTTTTTGCATTGAGAAAAACTCCCGCGTTCGTGTGGACATGGCCTTAAAAGGCAAAGATGTATTTTCTTTGTGAATGTTGCAGTAGTTGCACTGCTTTCCTGCCTAACTGACTGGACTGGCACATCTGAACTGACTATATTCGCCATCAGATCAGAGTATATCAACAAAACATGGTTCTGGATAAAAACATGTAGCGTTACACCCCTAGTTAGTAATACAGACCTTTTTATCTCCATTCAGTAAGACAATCTCTGCTGCCATTTACAGAGCTGTGTGCTCATTCTAGCCAACTAACGTACCTCTGTATTACAGAGATTTCTTCTTTAATATTTTTTTATAATTTAAATTAGCTTTTTGGTGCGTTACTGCCATATTTTGCTCTGGACAGTGATATCACTAATCAATCGCTAGGCTGACATACCAAAAAATTCATGCCGACTTCATACAACACAGTTTTAGCCCTAATCTTTAATCACATATGACATATTTTGTGAAATTGTCAACAAATGGCCAAAACTGATACTGCTTTACAGGAGAGTCACTCAAAGTGAACTATCAAAGAAGCATTTAGAGAAAATCTCTAATTTGGCATGCTAAATATCTGATCCTATCAGCGATTCAAAATCCTGCTGTGTAAAATGAACTGGGGTCGCTCGCTCACTCTGAACTAAAAAACACATTGGTGTAGGGATGCAAGATATATTGACGGCCATATCATTATCGGCTGATAAATGCTATTTTTAAGATTATCGTTATCGATTTGATGTCTAAATTAGGCCGATATCTTTGTTGTGTTAGAGATAGCAGGGGAGATTCACTTATTACTCCACGGCCGAATAATATTAGTTTCGGGGTTCTCCCTTCTCTTTTAGTTGCAGCCGGTGAATGAACGAGAACACATGTAACTTGGCCCAATTACCAAAGAGGGAACATCACTCGTCTCATTGCGAAAAAAAACACTCGTCTTTTCTGTCTCTCTCTCTTTGCTTCACACACACACATACACATACACAGACACACACACAGACACACACAGACACACACACACACACACCAAACTGCAGACCCTGCACACGTGCTAAACAAGAACTTGTCAGGCTGTTTGTAATCTAATATGATTATTTGTTACTATCAACGTGTGCTTGCCATGTGTTGTTGATGTAAGATAGTATTCAGTTTGATCGGAATATTCATATTGATTATAACGAGCGCGCGTGAGAGCGGTCACCGTGCGCGAGCACACACATCGGACAGCCTTGAGCCTTGAATCAATTCAGTTATAGCGAAACAGGGATTAAAATTGTTACATTGTTGCTCTGTGCTCTTGGTTCGGTTCACTTTCACACTGCAAAGTTTCTAAACGGACCAAAAACAAGTAATGTGTGAGTAAATTTTTCTCACATTGGTCAGTTTCAGGGTTAATTTTGCATAGTCCAGCTCAGCTGTTGGGGATGGTGGTTTGGTGGTGTTTGACAGGGTGCGCGCAACGTGTCTGAGGAGCGAGGAGGGATGCGGTGGGGAGGGGTGAGAAGGGTGCGCAACGTATTTGAGGACCGGGAGACGCACGATTACCGGGAGAATATCACTTGTTTGCGGGCATCCTGGAGTCTCTGTGCATTTGCGGGAGACTAACAAAACTTCCGGGAGACTTGAGATGTCTGGAATAACCTCCCGCCCTACTCATAACTCTCTTTTCATATAGCCGTATGCCTTTTAGATATCCATAAAACACTGTAATATAACGAGCTCGGATCGTTTGCTTTCTCACTACAATCGTTCCGCTCCAGAGTTTGTTTCAATCGTGCTGAGACCACCTCTTTCAAGTGATCTCAGGGCGATTGTTTTGGTGCGGATCCGAGTGCAATTGGTGGTTTTACATATGCCAAACAAACCATGCTAACTGAGCAAACGATGTTCCGAAACAAAAATCTTGGTGTGAAAGCACCCTTCATCTTATTTAAAATATATTTAACTTCCTTTTTGATTTAATCACATTTTATTATTTAACCTATTATTTTTATGCAACAGTCAAGTTGCATGTTAATTAGCTATGACGAAAAGGATTTTTTTTGCATGCTGATGTATGTGAAATGGTGAATATAGGTCTATATAATCACCTTGCAATGCAAAAAAATATAATATTTTTAAATATTTATAATTATCGGCCTATATCCCTACATTGGTGTGTTATTTATTTTAGTTTTTTATTATTGTAAAAAAAAAAACCATTATCGTTGTAAAAAACCTATATGTGAATAAAATTGTTTACCTTTGTTAATCAGCCGTGCAAACACAAAGTTGAAGTACAGCAGACTGTAGAATCTGAAAGAAAACAGAGTCCTTTAATTTCCTGTCATTTAAGCAGTAGAGATGTTAATAGTACATAGATTTGAGTTGATGTGCATTAAACAAAGAACTAATCTATTGTGACCCCTCACAGCAAGGTGCAAGATGGGTAAAGATGCTCTGTGCGATTAATCGAAATCAAATCACAATCGCGATTTGAAATGTTGCAATTAGCTAATCGTAAGATGCTGCAATATGAAATACATACATTATATATATATATATATATATATATATATATATATATATATATATATATATATATATATATATATAATTTTCTTCACAAATGCGTGACTGTCGTCTGTGTGTGACAGTCTTACTAGCACAATTTTGTTCTGGCTAATCAGAATTGCACAACCAATCAACTCGGAAAGCCCACAATAAAACAAACAGGAAAGTGCGGACAAGAGGGATGATGGTGTCTGCCACTTCAGAAGCATTAATAGTTGAATTTATATTAATGAAAACCAGCGCGTCAGTAATATGGGAATATTTCAGTTTTAAAGTCACAAACACCAAACAAAATCAGGTCATTTGGAAGAACTGTCGCATAACTGTTGCCTCAGCATGAGAAAATACAACAACCAGCACCTAAAAAAGCACCACAGGTGGCCAAAGACACCAGGAGTTAACTAACACCATAACTCACTACTCTTTTCTCTAAAAACAAAAAATAGTGTTTATTTTTAACAAATTACAAACAAATTTGTTATTTATGAACAAATTTGAATAAAGGGCTTATTAAAAGTTATGTAATATCTGTTCATTTTATTTTTTAACTAAAACTTACTGAAACTTATAACTAAAACTTTAACTAAAACTTATTATATCTAAAAGTATATTTCTGTTTTAACAGTTCTTTAAATTAAAAGAACTGCCTTACTTCCTTTAAAAATGTGTAATTGTAATATTAATAATGGGACTATGCGTGCAGTATTGTCTTTGTAGTGTAATTCAGCGTAATATATATATATATATATATATATATATATATATATATATATATTTTTTTTTTTTTTTTTTGTCAACTTTTTTAAAGGCCCTAAATCACACTGCACATTGCATTTTCCTCATGTAGCCTAAGTTACATGATAAATTCACCTCCAGATATGTTAAAAATATCTTATACTACTGATAAAAACCTTGAACATCTCAAACAAAACACTAAAAATGCTAATGCTTGCAGCTAATATTAAATCAAACACAAATACGAGAACGAAACAATAATATGAGGTAACGTTACACTGATTATGGATCGCGGTTGTGGCAATATTGACAGAATCAAACATTTTACAAAAAATTGTTTTACTTCACGTTTTCGAAAAGTTTAACAGACAAATAGAAACTGTCACGGGTTGTTGCTAGAATGGATACATACGCTGCCGGAAGTCCCGCAAAATCTCGTCGGAAGTGGTGGCGCAAATTCTCGTCCGTTTGAAAAGACAACTTGCAAATAAATTAATATATTTAAAAAAATAATCATATATTAATTATTACAAATATTACAAATATAAGAAATATAAAAGTTATGTACAAAAAAGTCTTTACAATGAAACTGTCACGTCCTCTCACCCGGAAGACGTACTTGCTGACGCACGCATCTTTTACGACAGTTCCTGTTTGCGCCACAGAATAAAAGTACAATTGCTGTTATTTACAAAAAGTAAACAAATTAATAAAACAAAATACAAAATATAATATAATAAATTAAATTAAATAACACTGGGCGACGCGGTTATGCAGTGGGTAGCACAATCACCTGATAGCAAAAAGGTTGCTGGTTCGAGCCTCTGCTGGGTCAGTTATCATTTCTGTGTGGAGTTTGCATGTTCTCCCCGTGTTCGTGTGGGTTTCCTTTGGGTGCTCCAGTTTCCCCCACAAGTTCAAAGATATGTGGTATAGGTGAATTGGGTAAGCTAAAATTGACTGTATATGTGTGAATGAGAGTGTATGGGTGTTTCCCAATGATGGTTTGCAGCTGGAAGGGCATCCACTGCGTAAAACATGTGCTGGATAAGTTGACAGTTCATTCCGCTATGGCGACCCCAAATTGATAAAGGGACTAAGCTGAAAAAAATGAATGAATAACACTGTTGCGGCTGTCAGACGTCTCGATGTTTCTTTGAGAGGGGTTTGGATGTAGACCTGGTGCAGTACAATCTGAGCTTCATGCGTTACTTTATAACAGGCTCACCTAACCTTAATCCTACCCCTCATAATAATGTCACTAGCTCAATTGAGTGCGTTGTGTCGAACATTGCATCGCTGAGAGACGCATTCTCAGCATCATAAAGGCTGCATCCAGATGCTATTGGTTTCATCCCGCCCGCAAACATTCTTTTACATCACTGATTAGCAGGTTCTTGTTTGTACCTGTTGAATGCTGGAACGAACACTCATTCTGACGTTTCTATGGCTATCTGGATGCTTAAACAATAGGCGTGGCAAAATATAGGGCTGGGCTATTCAATTGGTGGCCCACGGGCCAAACCCGGCCCCCGAGGCAATTTGTTCTGGCCCTCCAAGCTCAGGATTTGGCCAGTCTGTCACCAAGAATAGAGCAAATGCTTTATCAAGGAAAATTTCTCACTTAAATGGAAAAATTCCAGTACACCTAAATCCAGAAGTGATGTTGCATGGTGTTACTGTTGATTTGAAGGCCTCATTCACAAGTCCTACAGTCTGGTAAACCAAATTTAACTTGTACCTTCTGTCTCACTTTACCCCAGAGCATTTGTCTCACTTTACCACACCGCCACATTTTAGAAAAAATTATATTTTTTAGCAATTCAGGCTAATCTTGAGCTAGCATCCTCACATGGTTTTATATGTTGGTAGTTCATCAACATGTATGATATATGTTTTTCTCCTTAAATCAATTTGCTTTGCCACAACAGTTGATTAAGTTGATGGCAAAAAAATTACTTTTACTTTCAAAAAACATATTTTTGTGAAAAAACATGCTTTCCACAGCATCAGGAATTCCTATTCTTCATGGTAAAGGAGATATGGAAGGTGCTTTAAAACAAAATTGTTATAAAGTGATATATATAATCTGTTGCCTAGATACAGGGGGTGTCTCACACAACCAAAATCTATAATGTTGCATCACTAATTGTTATGCTGTTCAAAACATAACATGTGAATGTGTCTGAATGAAAAAGCCTACTTCAACAATGCACTGCTTTTGTTGTGCGTAATACAACATTTTGAATGTTTGTAAACAAAAAAAAAGTCAATTGGACAATGCAGTTGTTTTAAAATACAATATATTAACAATTTAATGTAGAAAAAGCCAAAGTGGGTGTCTTTATGAGCACAAATACAGCATATGGGCTCTTATAGTTGTGTCATCACTCATATAGCAAGTCATATGTCTCCAGCCCTTCGTTTGGGATGCTTTTCATGAACCGGCCCCTATGATAAACTAATTGAATAGCCCTGATGTAGGGGAATGGCAAAGATTTTTCATTGGTCAAAGGTATTTCTGGTTAAATGCGTTTGCCAGTCAGATTAATGTATTAAATGAACTGCTCATTTAGCATAAAGGTGGATCAAAACATTGTATGTTTTTGTATTACTTTATTTACCTTATCCTTCAATTGTTTTTGCAGTAGTTTTGAGAAGTGTCTGGATACAGATCTGGTGTAGTGCAATCTAAGCTGCATCCACTGCTTTTTAATGCACTCACCTAACCCCACCCCTAACCCTACCCTACCACACACACACACCGCGAAATGCAGAAGGTTTTTTTTTTTTTCCATTTGACATGCGTTATTAAATTCTATAAAACTCTCACCAGCCCTCCTTATTTGCATCTAATACCCCAGTTTGTCACCAGCACGTGAATAAAATGTTGATGAGTTAAAGTGAAACTGCAGTTACTGTCAGGCATACTGCTGATTTGATTCAGAAGGGCACTTTTTTGTCAGACGGCTCACCGGTCAGGTATACATCTGCGCTAAAATATCAAGGTGAAAGTCATCATAGCCATCTCCCAACCTGACTTTGAGAATCTTGTTCCAACTCATTAGCAATCTTGCTGGCTTCTGTGGCAGCCTGCTCGAGCTGGCTCCATCCCCATTGCTCCAGCAACCCTGGACACTGACACAAAACAGTCAATCTCAATAACCTGTTTAGATATCACCACCCCCGCCCTCCTCTAAACATTACTCCAATCAGCCGCGTGCTACACTAGCTCGCAAAATATCTAGTAACATTAATGTAATCCTAGACATCCCAAGTCTCCCGGAAATGCATAAAGAGTCTCTCAGGTGCCCGCAAACGACTGATAATCCTTCGGAAATTGCGCGTCTCCCCCCTACAGATTCGAACAGGGCAAAACAAATCACAGAGGCAATCGGTACATTTATAGATGTGGATATGCGAGATCTTAATTGAAAATGGAAATTTCCGGTTTTAAGAAAATGTTAAATGTAATAGAGCCCCGTTACATTATTCCTTCATAAGCCTATTTCAGTCAGATAATTCCTTCTTTCAGATCCACTGAAATGGCAGGTGACAGTCAAATCAAGCAAGTCTGTGCTGTCTGAAGAAAAGGTGGACACTCATCTTTCTGAAAATAAAAGAATACTTAAAAATAGATTGAAAAGGGGGGGGGGGGGGGGGGCGCTAGTGCGCATGCATATGGTATAGACGTTTTTGGTTGGAGCTCCTCTCCAAGTCCTCAACAAAGTTGCTATTTTGCCAAGTTTTTTTTTTAGCAATAAAAGTTAATGAGCCCTATTGCGATTAACTTGAGAGTACGACGGAACTCAAAAATACCGAAACCGTCTCTAGCAAAGGCAAGAAGGGCGACGAGCGAGCTACCGGAGCTTGTGCTAAACCTAGCTCACCCAACATGTGTGATATTACACCAGATGTCTACGCGTTGTGTAAAGAATTGTGTAAAGCAGTGGTGCTCAACCCTGTTCCTGGAGATCGACCTTCCTGCAAAGTTCAGCTCCAACCCTGATCAAACACACCTGAACCAATTATTGCTAATTGTTGCTAATCACGAGCTAGCCGTTATTGACTTTGAGGCGCACATTCTGGAACTGGAAGCCAAATATGCGGAACTAAGTAAACAAAATAAACAGCTCCGCGCTAAGGTTTCGGACTTGGAGGCTCGCTCAAGAAGAAACAACATAAAGATTGTGGGAATACAAGAAGGGGAAAAAGAAGGTAAACCTACTGATTTTGTTTATAAACTGATTCCCCAACTCCTTGGAAAAGAGTTTTTTCCTCACCCAATCAAAATTGACCGAGCTCATCGCTCTCTTCAGCCCAAGCCAGCTGCCTGTAAAAAGCTGCATACTATTCTGGCATGCATCCACAATTTCCAAGAAAAGGAGCTGATTTTGCGTCATGGGAGAAAGCAGTCGCTAGAATTTAAGGGCAAAAGGGTCTTCATCTTTCCTGACTACACTGCTGAAGTGATGTCACAGCAAAATGCTTTTCGAGATGTAACACAATCCATGCGGAAACACGGCATCAAGTTCTCGCTGCAATACCCGGCCAGGCTGCCTCTGGATGTAGCGGAGGCACCAGTGACTTTTGACTACCCGGCAAAGGCAGAGAGTTACGTGGAAGGGCTCAGTGGGCCCTTATGAGAGCGGCGACAAAAGTGGAACAGAGTCTCCCTATATAACTGTAGACGGCTCGTACTACTACCTCCAGCGTGTATTACACGCACACAGCTTTGACGTTTGCCACTGAGATTTTGATATGGTCTGATTCTGCACCTGTTATTATTGCTAATAACTTTGTCTTTTTTAAATTTGATTTCCATAAATTTATCTAAATTAAATTTATTTATATTTTGTTTTGATTTATTTATCTATTCGTATTATTATGGCTTATCATTGTGATTTAAACAATTATTTCATGTTTACTAATGTTTTTCTTTAATTTCTTTTGTTTTTATTTTCTACTATTATTATTTTATTTACTTATTATTATAATTTTATTAAAATTTTTATTTATTTATTTATTATTATTATTCCTTTTTTTACGGTAACATGTATAACGTGCTTTTACATCCGAGGACCTGGAGAGGGGTCTTTTCCTTTTTTTTGTGTGTCTTGTTTTTTTAGACACTGTAAGGGTGGGGTGGGGCGTTCTTTTTGTTGTTGTTCGCACTGTCTCGTTCTTGCCTGTTGTGTTTTTCTGTTTGTGTTTATTTTACTCTCTACATTCCTTTACTACCTACTGCCTTTTTAATTTAATAAATTTGTATTTTTGGAGCCTTGGTGTTGCCGCCTTTGATTTACATTTACAATCTACATTCCTTGCAATGACTTTTTGACGCTATTATAGTTCACTACTACTAAAGAAGTGTTTACACTATAAGAGTCTTTTTCTCCTCTTTTACTCTTATGCAGGGGTCTTTCGGTAGAGTTGTGACTGGAACGTTAGGGAATTAGGACATC